AACCGATGGGACACTGCTTGGACCAGCAGCCACCATGTCCACGTCACTCTGTCGCCCTGTCGCCGCTGAGGTCGACCACGGCGGGAGTGGAAGAAGACGCTGGTGTAGGAGATGGCGACCATGAGCTTGGAGAAGATGGTACAGACTTGGACCGAGTCTTCATATGACGTCGGGGCGACTTGGCGGGAGAGCGAGGACGAGTCTTCTTGCGCTTCTTCTGGGCCGCTTGCTTCCATGCCTTCGGACCGAATAGCGACCTACGAGCCGACTTGGGAGTTGAAGTGTCGGCAGGTGGCGCATCACCGAGACCAGCAGCTGCCATCGAAGTACTGGCCTTGTCCGTCGGGATGGGGGCCTTGTCTTCGTCAGAGTCGTCCGGTTTGTCGTCTAAATCCTCGCCACCTGGTCGAAGGCGCTTGTGGGACTTCCCATGAGCCAGCCTTGGCCAAAGCTGCAGGGAGAGCTTGAGGATCGTCCGAAGCCGCGGCAGCAGACTGTATGCGCTGCAAAGCGACCAACGTCTCTTGATCTAATTCCAGGGCGTCCAGGTCCAGCTCACCCGCTGTCAGACCTATCACGAAGGATTGTGGATGAACGTTAGTTGCTGAACACACGGTGGAAAGAGCAACATTGGGAACGTACTATCAACAGCCAGACGCAGTACCTCGGGATCCATCCCGGCCAGACTCACGTGTGCACGGAGGGTGCGATTCACTTGGAGGAGGCGAGTGTTACGGTCTTGCTGGTTCTCGAGGACCTTGAGGGTTTCGTTGTCAACATACTTGCCCTGGGCAAGCTTGACCAGAAGGAGATGAAGCTTCCGAGTCTGCTCGGTATTCGCTCCAATTGAAGACTTGTACACCTCGCGTTCACGAGCCAGCTTCTTGTTCAACGTGGCGATGAAAACGTCCCGAGCTTGGACCTCGCAGTGCAGACGATTCAAGTCTTCTGCGTGTCGCTCCATGGTGGCTTGAACACTGGCGAGCATGGCGTCGTTCTTGGCGTTCGACTCGCGGAGAATCTTGACGTTCTGGTGAAGGGCTTCGATCTCAGCGTTGGCAGCCTTGGGGAACGCCTCCGCGTTCTCACGAGCCATGATTTTGGGCACCACCGAACGTACGGCGGCAGCAGCCTCGGACTGAGCAAACCGCAACTGACGCTCCAAGTTGGCAACTCGTTCGGGTAATGCCGACAGCGCGTCAGGAAGAGGTTGTACCGCAGCGAGGACATCATCGAAACCAACAGCAGTCTCGAGGCGACGTTGAGCGTGGACATCGCCGTGGAGAGGAGGCGCAACGCTGAGCTGCACTTGGTGACGAGCCATTGCAGTCAAGTACGGAATTATCGAGGTCATCATGTGATCGACCGATGCCTCCGTTCTTTCAGCCAGCATGGCGCGCAGCGAATCCTCGGTGAGTGGTGGTGGACCACCAGCAGGCGCAGGAGGAGCAGCAGGAGCCATCTCCGCGGATTCAGCGGCGACAGGGAGTGCTGCAGGAGCTACCGTAGGGGGTGAAGAGTCCGGGGCAGGAAGCGCCGGAGGACCGGCAGATGACGCTGCTGTCGGGGGAAATGTAGCAGACTGAGGGGCGTTCGAACCCTCGGTCTTGCCCTCCTAAGAAACAAGACGGGTAATGCAGGGTGATGAGCAAGGCGCCGATGATTCAAGGGAAAGATGAGCGGACGTACCTCCAGCTGTTCACGTTCGCGACATCGGCGAGGGTTGAAACGCTGAAACAAATATTGGATATTGGATACAGTCCATATGTTACTGAATCCAGGCTGTCCTTATTATTAATAATGGACTGGCCGGATTCGCATTCAGCGGACCATCTACGGTACGAGCCCTCGGTGGCGGTTGGGATGAGTTCACGGAAGACTCAACGACCCTTGGAAGACACATTCACCGTCTGGGACAGGGCGCGGGCCGTTAAAGATACTCATGCGACGGTGCAGACGACGCTTGGCATGCAAGAAGATCCATAACGGATCATTGTTCACTTGATATTTGTATACTTGATTAGGACTTCTTATTAGGAATAGACCCGAAAGGGTAAGCTTAAATACAGAGCAGAATTTCCACTCAAGCACACAGAGCGACGTTCGGCTTCAAGGTAAGCGTCAGGTCAAGCTTGTTTGAGTGTGTTATGCCTGTCGGTGAACTCGAAGCTCTGTAGCGAGGGTTCATCCGGCAAGGCCAAGAGACTTTGTGTATTGGCCGATTACTATCGGAGGTTTTTACGTGACGGCTTATTGTTGCCTATTTGCACGACTGGGAGTGCTTGGATTGCCTCCCTTTTATTCTTCCAACCGAGTGTTGAACACTCGGTGATCTCGTAAAAGGCCTGGTACCCTTCCGCTGTTGGGACCACGAGGATTCAAAACACCTGCTAGCTTTGCTCGTGCTAGTAGCGTGTTCTTATTTTTACTGGTTGGCCTATATAAGTAGTTTACAAGGTCCAGTTTGTCCCGGTGCAAGGGCAGAACTGGGGTCTTCAGGTCCGCCCGAACGATCGTTTACTATCCTAGTAGACGTATTGTTGTGGCAACGTCCTAGCTACATTTGCAGCTAGAGTTCACGTGGGAATTCCAACACCACAGTGGCTTGTGCTGTAGCCAGTCACACGAGCCATAAATCTCTTTTCTTCTTTGTTCCAGGTCACAGCAGCCTTGATATCGGCCTTGCACTCCGTCGACTTTGCAAAGCAGATCTTCCGCTGACCCGTACTGTGGCTTTTCCTCCTCCACCCATGTGTGCAAATGAGTTTGATCCAAAATGTCTTGAAATCGGGAATTAGCGATAGAGAAGAATCGCCTGTGTCTGCCGATCCTGCGTCATCTGCGGAACGTCGCGCTCAAAAATCTGCGCTACGGCGAATTACCGACGTCGAGCTGCGGAGTCGAAAGAGCTGGTGCGTCCTCGCCTGATACTCATTCATGTATTTGTTAAACGCGTCCCAATTTTCGTGTCATTCCTTGTCCATCGATGAAGCCTCAAACACGCTAGCAAACGGCACGTGAGCCTTCAGGTTGCTCCCGCTCATTGATATTATAACAATCCAGTGTGCCCCAGGTTACATAAAGAGTGACCCGTCAATCTTGTGGACACCTGGTACACGGTACCAGGTGCTCTCGGAGCCAGTCAGAGCATGACTACTTAGCTCCACTATAGGTAACCTCTAGTTTGTATGGAATCCAAGCTAACCATGCTTATAAATACATCAGTCTTAAATCTACTCTTCTAAGTAGCAAACCGTTCCCTTTGAGGCCGGGAACACGTGGACTAACGTTCACTCGGGTAGTTAGTACCCTTAAGCACTTCCTCTGTGCAAGGTGCTGTGTGACCCCGTCACAGATATCCACCTGCTTATTTACAAAACATCAGAAGGAGTAATAAACAGCACAAATATACTTACGACAAATACCAGTCCGAAGTCGACTTGAGGCCTAGTCGCGCAAAAATCCAAATGAGAGGCTCAACCATTAGTTTGGTGCTCTTGACACTCGCTAGCTCACAAGCGTCTATTTTTCGAGTACCTACAAGGTACTTCGAAACGTTAGTAAAAATATGCAATAAGACTTTACATGTATGGTGAAGATTGACAGATAAACACCTGATTCCCAAAATGTACTTTCTATTTAGCCCGACTAGTGTGGAAGAGACAGGCTAATGGTGCCCGTGCCCTTTCTCTAGCCGCTCGGTGGCAGTACAGTCGTGCACCTCCAATTCGGCAGGGCGGACCATATCAACAGTGCCAGAGCATATGTGCACAACGTAAAGCAAAAAACAAACGCAAATCCAGTGCACTGATATTTTATTTGTTAATTCAGTACAACATTTACGCCAATCTTCTGCAAAATCTTGGTGTCAAACGCGCGAATCGCGGGCGCGCAACAGCGCTTCCCACTCCGAACTTGCTCGTTGGGCAACGGAGCGCTTGAAGACCCCCCAAGTAGTAAAGCGCACTACCGTCCAGAGTATTCTTAAGCGGTCCGCGGAAGTTGCCGCCTTGCCGGACGCCTATCGCGACCAGAGCATGCAGGATCTGACTTGTGCTTCTCGCACAAAGACTGCTTTTGTGGGACATGTAGGAGGAAGGGCGATGTCCCATTGCCTTTGGCGGTAAAAATCAAATGTAAGAATACCTCCGATCCAAAATTTAAAATCAGATCGATGCGGCGTGTCATCCCTCGGCGAGGGGGGGAAAACCGTTGAGGTTAATTGCTAGGGTGGTGATGGGCAAAGGTAATCGCGCATCCGATTCGCGTAATCATAAAATCTGGCAGGGTATCGACTGATACCGGTGCCGAATTGGAGGTACGACTGTAGCAGGCTCATTTCAAGACTGCACTGTCCTGTGGACGCGGTACCAATAAGTGCGAACGCGCCCCTTTTCTGTATTTTTGGCTCGGGCTTTAAATAGGAGCGCTGCTAGGGATGCACTGTCATCGTGGACGCCGTACCAAGGCAGTCGTTGTGGATCCAGCAAATCCGATTGGGTCATCTTTCAGCTGACTCTATAGAGTCGGAATGGTTGGTAATATATCAGCGTAATTTACCGATTACCTACCGTATAACTTCTTTAAGGTACGCTCTCACTCAGTGCAGTCTATCTTTTTTTTTTGAGAAAGAAATAGCTATTATAGCGAAATCACGTTTTTCAACTCGAACACGGCCTAAAGTTCTCTAATTCAAGACATGTTGAAATTTGCTCGTTTACCGAACAACACGGTAACCCAGTAAGTCCGTCAAGTGCTTTACGGATTCCCTCGCGCCTTTTGGCTCTATGTGACGACTACCAGTCACACATACATGTCCCCGCGATTCGTTAATTGATCCCTGTGTTTCATAGGCTCGAATAAAAGTGGTGCTGAAATGCTGGGTTCCCACGACCACCCAAGGTTTTTGTGACAGTCCATTTATCTGCATCGCTGGGGCTATTGGTTTATTCCGTCACTCGCAAACTTACCAACTTCCTAGTGGGTTGCCATTGTGCTCGATGAATTACGCCCCACTCGCCCAGTTTCCCTTGGGTCAAGCCCCACCTCTCAGCTTTGCGGCCATCAAGATGCTTCGTCGAGCTGTACCCCAGCAACTCCCACTACAGTTTCGTGTGGAATCAACAACAGCTGAAACGAGTTTCGTTGTCTACACCTGCACCGTATCCAGTGTGACGACCAGCAACTCTTGGGGTGTGTCATACCGTTACTCTGAATTCGCGACTTTCATCAAGAAGATCCAGGAGCAGTGTACGTGCCAGAGTAGCAAGTGTTGTGGATCATGCGCGGCTATTCGAGAGTTTCTCTGGGCCTGCTTTCCTCAAAAGCGCCTTGCGATTCTGTCTAAGTCCCCACGAGCCATCGCAGATCGCAAGAACAAGTTTGAGATCGTAATGCAGTATTTGCTACGCTGCGTTCTACTACCTGGCAGTGCTATGAAATGCGCCCACACTCGCCGGAACCTTCCACCTGAGCTTTTCGAGTTTCTTGGTGTCCAAAACGAAGCGGACAAGCGGTCTCTGCTCCAAGTGTTTGTCGACAACTACCAAGGTGCCGCTCTCTCGACATGCAGCCGAGACAGCTCCCCTTCCAACGCATCAACCGTGGGCACAATAGAAGCGACCCAGTGTACGATTTGCCTGGACGAAGTCGCTTGTGACGACCGCAGTCTTCGCCCCAATTCCTCAATCGTACTCTCGTGCCAGCACGCGTTCCATCGCGAATGTATCTTCGAGTGGCTGCTCTTCCAGTTCCACTGTCCGCTGTGTCGCGCTCGGGTTGGTCCTTCAGCTGTGGCCAGCTACTGTCGAGTGAAGAACCACACGTTCCAGTGGTGGCTCAGCAAATTTGACGAGAATCCCCTCGGCATCAAGCAAGTGTAGCCAGCTTCCTTCTATTTCGACGGATAACTCATGTATTAATATCAACATCACTGATACTTTTTGTGTGTTCTATCGACTAGTACTTGCACTTAAACTTGTCAGCTGCTTTCATAAATCTGAATGATTCGATCGATCTCGTTCGCCATTTCAGCGGCGGTCGGTCGCTTCTTCGGATCAGTGTCCCAACCTCTCCTAATCAGGTCCTGCATTTGCTGAGGGTAGTCGCTCATTGCCTCCAGTGGCGGCCGAACACCAGTCGGTACCTTTTCGTAAACCTCTTCCCTCTCCAACATCCGAAATGGCTTCACACGCGCTCGCAGCGCCCACATCACCAGCGATAAACTGTAGATATCCAGTTTCTCATCTAGCTGTCCATGCTGATATTCCTCGGGGGATCGCCACTTGCCCTTGGCCACCGAGGTCTCAAACGTGCACTTTTCGTTTGTTGGCGCACCGTTCACCAAACGTGGCCCCGTGTACTTGACACGGTTAAAGTCGTTCAGCCTCAAAGTACCGTTGTTATCGATCAGAAACTGTCGGGCCTGTAGATCTGCATGCGCGAAGGGCCCTCCAGGGGCGTTGTGCAATTGGGCGACGCCTCGAGCCGCGTCCCGCGCAAGCTTCAGTGCACGATTAACGGAGACTGACTCCTCGGACTCGAACAACAGCGTGTCGAGCTGGTGCGGTATGTAATCGACCACCACAGTCGTCTTGCACCAGCCCACAAGTCCCACGATATTCGGCTCGTTGCGTATTGAGAAAATGGACGCACACTCCTCTACGTGGCGAGGGATAATGTCAGGGCGACTCAGAAGATCTTCCTTGACGCGTTTCACTGCTACCTCACGACCTGCAGCAACAAGTAAAAACAATAAGAAATAAAAATGCTGAGTCAGTTTGAAATTATCTCACGTGTGATCAGAGAAAACCTCATTTTCACCGTTCCACTTGGTCTTGAACACTTCTCTCCAGAAGCCTTTGCCGACGAACTCTCCTGTGTCTAATTGGTCCATATTGGCGCAATTAAGCTCCAATTCTTCTGGTTTAAACAGCGCCACCGCCGCCGAGAAATCGCAGCCGCTCTGTGACACAAAGCAGCGCCAGCGTCATTTACAGGCCATGCCGTGCTCATATCGCGATGATAGACCTACCTCTTTGCGATAAGCTTGTGGGCGCAGCCACCAGGCCTCTTCGCTGTCCCTGGCCGCCAGGATATCAGTCAAGGCATCGCGTAGCCCCTGCGCGACACCCCGACCCTCGAAACGCAGCGTTGGTGTCCCCGACTGTGCGAGTGTTGCGATGGTTCTCACATTCCAGAAGAAATAGCCAACCACTGAGATGACGAGTAGCAGCTTGGCGACTAGCGGTAGTTGCCATTGCCACGACGAACGCACGGCATGCCAGCGAGCTCCCCGCGGCAATCGAGGCATCTTGGAATGGGACAAATTTGAGGATCGGGCAGTGAAGCAAATAAATTTTGGTCCGACACAAAAGTACCCTTTTTTAGAAAAGGTCATTAAACTGAGGTACTTCTGGTGCTAATTTGCCAAAATTCCATCTTGAAGCCGGCAATTCATTCCACAGAAGCCAGCACCGTCGCCATGGAGGTCGCTCGATCTACGCCGCCCCCGCGTGCGCGCTCTGAGCGCTACTGGAAGTATAGTCACTACCCCGTGGGTCTTTCCCGTCTCATACAAGAGCGTGAGGTGCGTGGAAACGCTCGTGTCATCGACGCCGCCTGTCAGGGCCATGGCAGCTTAGTTCGTCGGCTCCAGTGCGAGGCCGTACTCGACGGTCACGGGGGTTGCGTCAACACGCTTCAGTGGAACGAAACTGGAAAGCTGCTGGCGTCCGGATCGGACGATCATAACGTGATCATATGGAGCTACGACCAACACAAGAAGCAGCAGGTGATCGAGTCCGGCCACACGCTCAATATCTTCGCTGTATGCTTCGTCCCAGGCACAGACGATCACGTTCTAGCCTCTGGAGCTATGGACAACGACGTCCGCATCCACTACGCCCCATTCCGTAAAGACTCGTCCAAACTTTTCCGTGTTCATCGAGATCGAGTCAAAGATATTGGCAGCTCGTGGGCAGTGCCCAAAGTATTCTGGACCGTAGCTGAGGACGGACTGGTGTATCAATTCGATCTACGCGCTCTACCCCGAACCAGTGGGCGATGTGAGTCCCCCGACACGTCTGGCGTTCTTATCAATTTAGGCAGGGACAGGAACGGCCGAGTGTTGAGAGGAATGGGCATGACGGCGCACCCGTTGGACCCGACGAAAATTGTCTTTGCTTGTGGGGATTTCTACACGAGAATGTACGACCGACGCATGCTGAGAGTGCAGCAGCACATCTCGTCGGCCAGAAGCGCAGGAGCGACGAGCCCCGTGGAGGTTTTCGCTCCTCCCCATCTGCACTTGGATGCGTATTGTGATAGTAAAGCGCAGAGATTCCACGATAAAAGTCACGGAACGAGCATCCGATTCAGCAGTGACGGGTCTGAGATCCTCGCGAATTACCACAATGACCACATTTACCTGTTCAGAGTGGGGTCGAACGAGACGGTGGTGTTCAATAGGGACAACAAGACCGAGCCTCAGATCCAACCGCTAGCGTGGCTCAATGGTGCGCACATGGATGAACCGAGTCTGCCGTTGGACTTGCATATGGAGGGAGTGGGGATCTTGCATGAACAAGGCCAAGATGCACTTGGCAGGAGTGAGTACACGCGAGCACTCAAGTCGCTGACTCTGGCGTGTGGTGCTCGTGGAGTAGCAGAACTGACTATGACGCAACGCAAAGAACTGCATCACGACTGTGCCAAGGCCTATCTGGGACGATCGTGGAACGCAGATAGCTATCTGGCCGCGGTGCAGTGCAAGAAGGCGCTGGAGCTCGATCCAAATGATCGCGAGGTTGAGTTGACGTATATTAAGGCGCTGGGTGCAGGGAAACGGCAACGACAAGCCAAGTGGCAGGCTCGACGATACAAGGAGAAGTACCCTGATCACGAAATAGACGTGACCTCGTTCCTGAACGAGACAGCGTCGACCGACCGAGGTGATCGTACAGTAGATCGTTCCTTGCGTTTGTATCGATCCTCGGATGAGGATGATTCGAGTGACAGCGAGGAGGAAGTTCCTCATAGCAACCAGGACAACAACGCTGGAGAGGAGTTACCTGACGACGATGACGGCTTCTGGGAGGGCGATTTAGTGAACAGCACACCGGTGAACTGTGACGTCCTCCGACGCTACATTGGCTATTGCAATGTGCAAACGGACATTAAAGAGGCCGCCTTCTTCGGTAAGAACGACGCCTACATCATAGCTGGAAGCGATGATGGGCGTGCGTTGGTCTGGGATAAAGCTACTGGAGAACTGGTGAACGCTATTGAAGCGGACGCAGATATTGTGAATTGTGTGCAACCTCATCCATTTGATGCTTGTTTGGCAACGAGTGGGATCGAGAATGTGATTCGGCTATGGAGTCCCACGAGTGGCGAGGAGAACACGCCGACGGACGCTGAACTTGAGGAAATCGTATTGAAAAACCAAAGCCAAATGGATGATATCGCCATTTCATTCGAGGGTGCGATGCACAACATGGTTCGTCTCGTCTTCCAGGCGGGCGGTGACCACCAGGCGATCCAAGAGTGCGCCACCAGTTAACTTTACGATTATTACTCGAATGCGTGGAACTGAAGCACTTTGTTTTTTTCTGCGGTGGTGGCGCTTGCATTAATGACAAAGTGCGCCAAGCGTCACTGCTCCAAGGGATTGGCAGCTAACGTGTTCATCTTTCTGTAGGTTTTGAGAGGATTGGTACCGCTTCAAGTAAATAATCATCTGTTCAAGCGCTGCTGAGTATCTCTACCATTCACATAACAATTAAAGAGTCTGCTTTTCTTTTGTTATTTATTTCAACACTGTTCTTAAACAGCCGACTGCGATTCGAACATGCGAGCTTGCTCCACGCTTCCATAACGGACTGGGATAAACTCGTTCAAGCGCTGACGGCGACAACGACGACGACTGTGCTCCTTGACAAGCCACGTGCCCAGAACCAACAACACTACGCCAGCAACGCCGGCTGAAACAGCGGCCATCGCATGCGACACAGGCGAATGATTTTTCAATCCCACCCCATTCTCACTCGACTCGGTTTGAGTATCCGCCACTGTCGTGCTCGTAGTCAGCGTCTTCACTGCAGTACCATAATCAGCAATACGTTGCTGATGGCGCCTGTACTGCTCATTCTCCGCATCAATACGTCGGCATGAGGGGTGCTCAACCTCAAGAGCCACAGTACAATTGCACGTCGCACCCGGTCCTTGAGCACACGAGCCGTAGCCGCTACAGAATGGGGTGAGCTTCTTGTCCTTGACAACCTTCTGCTGTGGATACACGTAACTGCCTGCTGACTGCCAGCAGTAGTCGACCGACGGCTTCTGGTACAGCGTCATCTGCGCTACCATCTCTTCACCGTTGGGAGCATCGGCGTCGAGAGTGACAATCTCATCGCATGATGGGCCCGTGTAAGGCTTCCGAATGGGTGGGAATGTGACGGCATTATAATACTCCTCAGCGTTCTTGAGGCAACCGTCGTCGTTGCCGTCTACCGCGCAATTGAACTTTGGGAGGTTTCCCACACCCGAGCACGTCAATGCATCTAGAGGCTTATAGAGCTGCTCGATCCGCTCGTCCATCCAACGAGCACGGTTCAGCACCGCGTCGCGCATCTCGTTCACACGCTCAGCGTACGTCCCGTTACAAGTCTCCAAGTCGACAACAGCGCACTGCACGACGTCCCTGCGCCAGTCTCCACCGCGGCACTTTGATAGCTGACGGTAAACGGGAGCAGCGCTGGCATCCAGGAACTTGGTAATGGCGTCGTCTCTCCAAGCCCCGAAGACGGGATCGTCAGCCTTCTGCATGTTAGTGCCTCGCAGCGTCTTCCAGCGCTGGATGACAAGCGACGCGAGCTGCGAGTGGCACATGAGACGTTTCCAGTACGTGTACTGCGGGTAGATCCAGTCTTTGAAGTGCCGACGAGCTCCATTTCCGTACGCCAAGTTGAGGTCCCATACGGGTCCGGCGTTTATGGGCTGGTCACGGTCCTTGAAGAAGAAGGTGCTGCGCCGGTACGCGTCCACATTAAGCGACATCTCTGTGTGCAGCAAATAGTCGGCAAAAGACCCGAGATCCAAGTGCTTCGGGAGCTCCAGCGGAGCCGTCATGTTGTTCCAAAGCACCCGGTACATCTGCGGCAAGAATCCCGTGTCTGTGCTGACGAAATAGTCGCGCATCTGCTGCGAGAGTGACGATCCACTCGGATACGCCAGCACGGGGCGTTCACCCATGCCGAACTCGTTCTGATACTGGTCGATGACCATATTGGGCGAGTAAGAACCGTAACTGGGGGGATCGTTCGACCACGCCCATCCACCGTTCAAGACCTTTGGGTTTCGAGCTGCACAGGTAGCGTTAATCGACGCCAGGTTGACGTGGTTCTTGTCATACGTTGGTTTCTCCAACAGCAAAAAGATGCCAGCGTACTCTGGCTTCTCCTGAGTGGGATTGGTGCGCATGTAGACGACTGCGTGTCGAGTTTTGACTGAGTAGCGACCAGTGGAGCGATACAACCAATGGGCCAAGTGGTTCCGCAGTAGAGTACAGTCGAGGAAAGGTCCGTTCATCACGAAGGCCTTGTTCTCCACCATACCCAGAAACGATGTGTCCTCTGGGAATTTGAGGTTGAACTGGTGCTTGGCGAAGAAGAGACTCGACTGGCCGCGGTAGTTGGCCTTGGAGTGCTCGAACACGGCGGTCCGCTCTCCGTTGATACAGTTGAGCTTCCCGTCGGTATTGTCAATCACTTCAACACGGGTCTGTACAGCCTCTTTGAGACAGTCATCTGCGGGATAACGCAGTTGGTTGCAGGTAGAATCCGGAAAGCTCCGGTCCAGCGCCGAGACGATCACCACGGGCATCTCGTAACACTCAGCTTGGCTAGGAGTAGCTTGATGCTGGGCTAATGCCGCCTGCAAAGATGCTAGAAGCGTCAGGAGAGAATAAATTCGCATTGTTGGTACTCTTCAAAGTCGGACGGTGGTGGCGTCTGAGCCAGAGACTAATGTGGCTCGGGGCAAATTGCAGACTGACAACATGAAGAGGGTTGTCGGTCTCGGCAATCCGTTTTCAAGAGTTACCGAAGCTGATCAATGGAGACAGAAGCAGCGGTTTCGGTAGCAGCGTTGAACGTTGAGTGCTGAGCTGGTGCTGCCCAAGATACGTTGCAATTAGACGGCAGCGATGAATGGAGAGAAACGACAGTGGTTGGAGCTGCTTTCCAAGGTGCTGGCCGCCTCTGCTTGGTATCCGTTAGGAACCTGCGCCACCAGACACTCACCTTTTAGATCAGACTTTAGAGGCGTTCAACTGACGTACGGACGTCCTTGCCGCAGATTCGACGAGACACGCGTTTGGCGCATGTAGTCACCAGAAACCACCCACAAGTTGCGAGGCACTGCGTTGACGACGTTGAAGAAACGGATGATAAAATGCTGCTTTGGAGTACGATTGCAGTCTCTATTTTTGGCAAAGATAGAAGAAACAGCCATTGCTGTTTCTTAGTGAGCTTACCTCTCAAAAGGGCTATACCGTTTTGTCTCCCTTGCATCATCATTTCCAGTCACCCGGTTCCAAAAAGTGGACTCGTGTAGTGCGATCAGGGCAGCTCGGTCAGATGCCCAGGGCTCGTATCGGTTAATGTAGATCAACAGGATCTTCTCGAAGCGCGGGTAGTGTGGATAATTTATCTTGAGTTTGGCCCTGATGGTTCCTGCGTCAAATTTCTGCTCAACCCACTTTGAGTACAACTCGCCTCTGAATTCTCAACCCTTTCCAAATCCTTCTCGGCGAAATACAAGCGATATTTCGGTGGGCGCTCTCCTAAACCGAGGAGTGACTTCAGCTTATTTGTCAAGATAAACGCCCGCTCTTCATCGTTCCTTCTCGAATGAAAGTATCTCCTGCTTGCATTGCAAGCTGAAAGGAGCAGAACTGCAACTGCTATTAATAGTAGCAGGACGAAACTTCGTTGCATAATGGCTAGTGTGCGCGTAAGTTCTCGAATCGTAGATTTGGACAAAGATTATGGGGTCGATAAAAGAGCATAAGCGGCATATGATACATGATGGTAAGCCATTTCGATGTCTCGTTTCAGGATACCATGATTCATGGGGAGTTTTATAATTCCTTTGTTCCTTTGTACATGTACTTTATTTTACTGTCAAATTCCAAAATGTTGAAAACGTCTGAATTTTGGCAATCCAACTTAAGCTTTCTGTTAAAAGCTTTTACTACGCCAGCCATGCGTCCCAAACGGGAGCTGCTCGCTTTGCTGCAGCGACTCAACAACTCCGTCGGCATCTCGGCTCGGCATGTGTACACGCGCCAGATCGCAGTCTCGGAGCTCCTGCAGTGCCCGCAGTCCGAAATCCGCCGACAGTTGCCCGAGCTCTGCGACTTCGTGGACTCCCTCAGCAGCCACAACTCTAACGCTACTGGCACTCCGCCCTCCTCGCTGGTACGTCGTGCCTTCCGACACCCAGATGCACAGTGGCTGAGTCGCAGCGCGCGTGAGAGTGGCGTCTCAGCGCTGGTATGTCAGCAACTGGTGCGGTTGGCGAGACAGGACAGCAATGACGAACTCGTGGAAGACAATACAACCAACTGGTCGGCCGCCGAGCTCACCATGCACGTTCTACTAGACGCACTGCTGTCACCGTGCGCACAGCGACTGGGAAAGGCCCCAGACGCCTGTAAGTGGCGTGCGACGCAGCCCAAGCCCAGATTCCATGCTATGACGTGCTTCCCAGTGTGGTCGACCTTGCTGCCGTTCGCAGCGCTGATGGGACTTCGATTCCCGGGCGTGTTCCTGCGAGTGCTACTTGAGTATCGACAAATGGAGACGAAGAAGAAGAAGCAGCAGCAGCAGCGGGTTAATTGTAGTTTTGCTCAAATTACAGGCATCTGGAGATTGGTGGAGGAGTTAAACAGAGGCGACAAGGAGAGCCAGAGCGCCGTGACGGAAGTGATGGTTGGTTTATTGAGACTCGCAAGCGATAAAGTGCTCGCAACGTCTGTGGCTGTGAAGAATGAAAAGAAAACGGTTGGACTGCATCTGGATGACCAACTCATGGAGAAGTTTTCCACTGGACTGCAAGGATTCTCGTTCAAGAGCTGGCGAGCGAACGCGGTGCTCAAGCCGGCGCTATTTGATGCACTGCAGAGCTCTCTAAGTATTCCAGCGGATGAGGCGAAGGGTGTTGAGATACCACAACGAGTTGCTGTGTTTGCGGCAGTAGGGTGCATCTTTGTTAAGGACCTGGCGGCGGATATCGTATCGACACTCATCGAGCGTGCCAGTGATACCGTAACCACGAGTGGAGCAGTCAGAGGACCTCTGCTGAATTTCCTTGTGGGATTCTGTGCGCACGTAGACTTGGTATCGCTGACATCAGTGATAGAAATGTTGGAGTTCCTCGTGGCCGCCTACAAGGCCGTCCCGCAGAATGAAGGCGATCTTGAGCCACGACGAGCACAGCAACTGGAACTGGTGTTTTGTATCGTGTATGTGGCGTTGCATCGTTGTCAGAGTGTCGATACTTTGCGTCAAGAGGTCAGCTCCGACGCTGCAGAGGTCAAGGAACGTCTGGCGCAATTACAAATGCGGTTATGCAGTGACGTTGCGTTCGAGGACTTTTATGTTGCTGCCCCCTTGCACTGGACCGCAAAAGTATTGGGGCACTGGGTGTTTCTCTCGGACGAAGAAGTGCAGGCCTTCTCGTCCGAAGCTGAAGAAAATGACAACGATTCCGAGAAGGAATTCAGAGACCGAGTTGAGGCGTGGCACGCTATAGAAGCGCGCTTTGCCTCCAAACCGGAATCATTCTCGGCGTTCACGCAGATGAAAACGTTGTTGGAGCCGCATTTGAGACCGTCCATTCCACTCGACCAGCCAACCCACGAGCATGGATTGATTCTGCCAGCAGCACGGAAGCGTCGACGGACTGATGAAGTGACGAGAAATTCTGGAGATCCTGACAAGCTCGAGCGCTCTATCGATGTTCTGTTGCTGCCAGACGTCATGGAGCGCGTGTGCTCCTTTATGAGCGCCAAGCGGCTTTGTCGGATGGCTCTCGTGTGCCGCACATTTGCAGATATCAGCCACCGCGCTTCCCTGTGGCGACCACTTTACATGCGAGTTGGTTTTCCCATCTTCAAGACGAATGCTCTACCTCCTGCGTCGGTGGCGTGTCATCATGGCGAGAAGTACGCGCACAACTGGCGCCAACTGTATCAGGAGCGGTTAAAAGCGGTGAAAAGACTGCGACGCGTGCAACGTCGAGTCCTAAAAGCCGGACAGTCCAATGACCAGGAAGATGGCAACGACAGCAGCGCGTCCGGTTCTGCCAGAGCGACCGCATTCATCCCGCAGCTCTGCGCGTATTGCAGTTGTGACCAGGTTCTAAAATCGGCAGTCGATTTAGAAACCCACCAGACGCAGCACAAGCGATTCACTTGCACTGAAGCATCCTGTCGAGCGTCGTTCACGGGTTTGCACAAGTTCAACGCGCACATGAGGGGGCACGCGGTCGAAAGCTCTTGTCGACTTGTGTGCGGCTTCACAGGATGCAAGAAAAGTTACTCGTCGGCCAAGCGACTGGCCTCACACCGCCAGAAAGAGGGACACCAAACTCAAGAGTATTAATAGTGCACGACCAAGATAGAGAATACATTTGAGAATGATGGGGAAAATGTCGATTTTTACGGTGACCTTGAAGTCTCGTTTCTAACAGAAAAAAAGTTCGCTTTATGTCAGCCGTTACTTTTTCGTCATCCAATGAGATCTCAGATCCTATCTTTCAACATCGTTTATTCTGTAATACAGGCTGCATACAGCTCCACTGCTCTCCCTCAGTTGACCACTTTCGCCCAGTCGTACAACATGGCGCAGGCGGGCGACAGCGACAGCGGACCGCTGCCCACGCTCGCGGCGTCGGCTCTAGCGGCCCAGGGCGCCAGCAGTGAGGACAAGACTGTCACATTAGTGGCAACGTGCTCTTTCATGTTGTCTCTAGCTCTCGGGCTGCGATTATTGGGCTTCTACCTGGCCAAGACACGTCGACGACGTAAGCGACTTCGTCTACTGCCCAGACTGGGTATTTCCGTGCCATTCCCAGCCGCTCTGCACGCTTTAGACGTGAGTGTATTCGTGGTGCTCTGGTACGCCGTCAGTATCGGCATGACGCTGTTCAACAAGTGGTTTTTACGGGTCTGGGCGGGCGGAGGCTACCCGTTCGCCACGACCATGACGTGCATCAACATGTTTGTCAAGTGTCTGCTATCCAGAATCATCGATCGGTGCTCCAGTGGAGGCTGCAGTGGCAACGGGACGATGATGGCGCTCCCCTCGACTATCTACTGGAAGCTGGCGGTTCCTATTGGCGTGTGCACTGCCCTGGACATCATGCTGTCCAACCTGTCGCTGTTCTACATCACGGTGACGTTCTACACCATTGTGAAGTCCGGAGGGAACGTGTGGAATTTGCTATTCTCGATCTGTCTCGGACACCAGCGCCCTTCCTGGCCCTTGTTCGGCGTCATCGTGTTGATCTCGAGTGGCATTGGACTCGCGAGCTACGGGTCGGCCCAGTTTGTTTTTTACGGTTTTATACTGGTATTGGCGGCGTCGGTGATCGGAACGCTGAGGTGGGTGCTGACCCAGTCGCTTTTACAGGCGATGGAGGACACGACTGGCGCTCCGAGGAATAAAGTGCTGGCTGTGGTGTACTACGTGTCACCGGCGAGTGCGATCGGCCTGCTCCCGATTGCGTTATTCTCCGAGGGGAGCGACTACGCGACGTCGAGGTTTTTACTGGACTCGCAGCTTTTGATGATGTCGCTGGTGTTTATCTTCATCAGTGGATGCCTGGCCTTTGTGCTGATTTTCATTGAGATTCTGCTGGTCAAGAAAACGTCGGCACTGTCGTTGGGCATTGCCGGTAGCTTCAAAGACGTCACACAGGTGCTGCTGGCAGTCTTCATCTTTGGTGACCAGCTGATCGCGATAAATGTGTTCGGTCTCGTTGTGGCCACTTGCGGAATGCTCTTCTACACGTACATCAAGCACACAATGGCAGAGGCAGCAGGGGGGAAGCTCAAGGGATACCAGCGAGTTCCCACCTTTAATTCGGACCTGGAGGACAGCAGCGATGTCCAATCCTCGGGCTTTGATAGCAAACACAAGGATATCGTCCCGGAGTTTCAGATGAAAGATGAGCGAGTCTCGGCAACAGGAACCAAGACTGTGGCAGGAGTAGAGCTGGTACGACGAGAGAGCAAGGACTTTAACTCATCAGGCATGGTCGCCAATGCCTCTCATGTGTGACGAGAACACGGACGCTTTGTAACATTAGGTCGCAGGTCTGCCAGCTGACAAACTAGCAGCAGTTCTTGTTCTCGTTGCGCTTTGAAATTTTAATAGACCAAACAGAACTCAAAAACGTTTTTTTCTTCTTCTTCTGACTCACTTCAAGTGACGAGATGCGGTTTGTACTCTCGCAAACGCCCGTCACGACACGCACTGAACACGCGACCAGTTTGGCTTCCTACAGCGACTCCACGCACAGCGTCATACTGCGGACCCGTGAGCTCTGTGGACACGTGGGGCTTCTCACCGAGATCGGTCCAGTGGCTGCATGCGCCGTCACCGTGAGCTGTCCAAGCGCTGCTAGTAGAAGCTGAACTATCAGCTGACACTGCAATACTATGAATCGGCGAGGAGCTCCGTGATAAAGCGTGCAGAGGAGTACTGTACCACAAGTATAGATTAGGGTACCGTGGATGCAATGCCCTACGCTGTTGCCAACGTACCTGGTGTGGCGTAGATCCCATACAGTAAATAAACCATCTTCACTTCCGGTATATAACATCGGTAGCGACGCATTTGCAGTAGTAGCACACGATAGGATAGAACCGGCAAGTCCCTCGAGGTTCAACACCTGCAAGTGAAAGGTAAAGACTGTAAGCACTCATTCCTTCATCGCTATCAAAGCAAAGCCAGGAGGCGTACCGCCCCTCGTGCACGGATGTCCACTCCAAGCGTCTCTCCGTTATCAAGCCCTGCAAAGAGCACCTTCCCGTCCGTCTCAGCTTCATTTTCGCTCGTAGTGGGCAGGTAATCGCCCTCCGCCAGCAGCTGAGCGGTGTCATCCATGACCGACAGGCAGTGTACCGGACTCTGATCATCATTCGCCCACTTGGCAATGACGTCCTGGGTCCCGCAGTTCCACAGCTGAATTAACCCGTCAGTTCCGCACGCTACAGTACATCAAAACTCAACTGTCAATACACACGCCGTAAAATAAAATATCTTTCCTGCCTCCTAAACACTTACACAGCACATTTCTGCCTCTGCCAACGATCGCGACGTCCTCAACCCCTCCCACATGCCCCTTCATAACAGCTGCACAACGCCCATGCACGCTCCAGATTCTAAGCGTAAAGTCCAGTGATCCCGTGAGTACAACCTGCGAGCTCGGGAAAAAGCGGGCACTGGTGACGTCTGCTACATGGCCCTGTAATGGCAACATCTGAGCTCTATTCTGGCTGTCCCAGAGCATGCAGACGCCATCCGAGCCTCCAACCACCACGTATCTCTCGTCTTTGGACACATCCACTGTATGCAGCTGAAGTAGCGACGGCGATGGCTTCCCTGGGTCTTCCGAGTTGGCAACTACAGGTACGTCCATCGTCTCATTGGGGGCCTGGAACACTGTGCGCAGCTGCGTCTTGGACTTAAGATCCACTTGGACGTCCACCCACGATGCTTCTCGCTCAAGAATCCGCACAAAAGGCGGCTCTCTAGAGGTCTGGGACGCTGTTGAGAGCAACAACTGATACTGGGAGCTTGGACATGAGTGCACTTCGGCCGTTAAGCGCTCGTCCTCAGCGAGTTCGTTGGCGGTAGACGCCGCAATTTTAACGGTGCGTTCATAGACATCTAGCCAGCAGGATTCGACAGCGTCAGGCCAGTCTGGCTGGATCTGCATGTACATTCGTGTCTCCGTCTCCTTGGGCATGCAAACTAATCTCCAAATCCAAGAATTCTTAATATGGAAAAACTTGTACAATTAGTAAGTACTAAAGTAGTACAATTTTTAGCAAATCAAATTAATTCTTATAGCAATTCAAAAGCAATAAGTTTTAAATATTTTCTAAATTACTTAGAAGAAAGTTCTCAAGTGTTTTTAAGATCATTTCTTTTAAAAGTCATTTATAAAAATTGATTTCAAAGAAGCACTTTAAATTTCAAGAACTAAAAAAAACTTGAAAAATTGCATTTATAAAAATATGCTTGTTTGTGCGCTTTTAATAAAAAGCAAAAAGGGTTTTTGCAAAACATGGTCTCTCACAGCTGATATAAAAAGAATCATCAAATTAAATGACAATTACTAATACATTCTTAAATTTAATTTGGCGAAAGGTCGCGAACGGATCTTGGATTGAGATCAGTGTTAGGTTGTCAACGAGAGCTACAGATGGAGAGTGATGCATCTACTACATCCTCCTCGTCTAGTGACCTAGCTGCATCTGTAGCGAAGCCTATGGCAGGACTAGTCGCGTCGTATTTCCTGCGATCAATGGATTGGAAGACCAAGCGCGTTGAGACGGAAGCAAGAAACGAGGATTTAATGGGAAAAGCAGAATTCAGTGACAACAGTGATGCGAAGTGTCTAGAGCAGCAAAACGGGAATGAAGAGACTCGTATTGAAGTGGAGACAGAGCCGGATGCTCCTGTAGTCCCAGAGGACGAGACTCTTGAGGAGAGAGTGGACGACAAGAAGGAGTTCCAAGTGACGTACCAGTGTCTTCCGGATGTGGAGCAGCAGCAGCACGAGACAGAGGTAGTCCAAGGACTAAGTAAGCGACGACCAATGCAATATATGGACGTGCTGCTGCAGACTGATGAATATGGAGTGGGGCTAAATGTGGGAGCGGAGAGAATGGAGGACGGACAAGTCCTCCTAGTGGTGGAGTCTTTCCGCAGGTTAAGTGGGAAGGACATTGGACCAGCGGAAGCGAGTGGGAAGATTCAAAAAGGGGATATATTGCATTCAATTGATGGAGAGGAAGTGTGTTCACTTCAGCAATTACATGCAAAGCTGCAGGGGAGACTGGGGAAGAGAAGGAAGTTTGTGCTGCTGCGCTTCCTTCGGCCTTTATGTGGAGACTCTGACGCTTCTGTAACGCCAATTGTGGAGCGAAAGAGTGAAGCTGTGGAGGTGAATGAAACAAATTGCTTGGAGGCTGAGACGCTGCTTCACGGTAACCCTCAAGTGGCTGCTCTAGTCCGTCAACTAGCCACTACGAACAAACTTCTGCAAGAGCAACTGCTAGCCAGCCGACTGAAACAGGAAGAGCAGAGTATTCAGCTTGATCAACTGCATGCGCTGTATGCGCGAACACAAGCCGAGGGCTTGCCACTTTTTTCTCTGTCCAAGTCTATCCGCCCATTTTCGCGCAAATCAGGCTCGACCATCGATGGAGTGGAGAAGTCCACTCCCAACAAGATTCAGACAGAACTCATCGAGGCTGTCAATGCAGGGTACACTCGACTGCGACAAGAGTTCCAACTGCAGCATATGATTGATAAGCGGGAGTTGGAGGGCAAGTACGCGAAGAAGGCGCAAGAGCTGGAGGAGGCTACCACAAAGAAAGTAGAGATGCTGGAGCAAGGCTTTCGACAGGCACTACATCATTATACTGTGGATGGTCATTGCACGTGCCAATGTGGAAGGGCTACAGCACCAGGGAGTCCGGACGAAACAAGCGATTGTGAACTGCTGGAAACTACTGCGAAGACTAAAGTTATGGGAGACGAAACATGGCGACAAATCCTGATTTTACTTAGAAGGTATGACGAGATAAAGTGGGAGCGGATTGCAACGCTTCAGACAGGTCTACATGTTAGTAAATGAATTGAGCTGAATTACCGGATACGGTTATTTCCGTAGGAAATATGAAGGCCCTGGCTAAGACGACGCGCTCAGCACTTCTTCTAGCGAGCTCAATAGATACATGTACTATTGCTTGACGTAAGAAAAATACTACATCGAGACTGCGTCGAGCAAAATGATACTTACGAACCAGTTAGAGATAATCGATTGACCAATTGATTTTCGCACTTAAACGGAACTGTGACATTTGGTGTAAACTTCCATCGAAAAAACTGTATTACTACCATTATTCAATTGATTTTAACAAGAGCTTTTAAGAAACCCACAATACTCCTAAATGTATCGTCATTTTGAGGGCCCGAAAATGGAGATAATATTTTTGGCCGACCACAACTTCTTCAATTTTGAACATTTCCGTAGCTTCCAAATGCTCAAGAGATAGAGGAGACGTCCCGCTTTTGCTAAGAGTGTTTAAATCGCGATTCGTACTTAGGTTCGTAGGTATCATTTTGTTTGACAGCAAATCGTTTTTAATTGTGCTAAGGTTTTTCTCAATATGAAGTAAGTGATGAAGTTACAATATTTTCTCACAAAATGAAAGACTTCTAAGTTTGTATGGGTGGCGGATGACTTTGAAGGAGAACGTTTTGCGCAGAAAATAGCGGCGAGGATGAAAGTTATATTCGCGCTTTAAAGCTCAAAGTGTTTGCCTAGTGGCAGCAGAAGGCTCAGTGTCGGAGTGATCGCAAAGAAACTCAAGGTGCCTTGCGCAAACACAATCTACAGTTTCTTTTTAGTAGATCACAGCATGGTTGATTATAGTCCAAGGAACTTACTCACAAAGGTACGATGAAGAGGTATGCAAAACAATAAATGCATGATTTACCGCAAAACCGATTTTCTTGTTGAGGTTGATCGTTCTCTCTTCGGCCAGTTGGCCGTGTCATCATTTGTCGCTCGCAAAAGCTGCGTGGCTTGTTTATCGCGGACGCCTTCTGGGACACAGCTACCGTGTGTCATAATAGGGAGGCACTCGATTTTGGAGCTGGGTAGTTTTCCGTTTGGCCAACATTATTCTTATTGTCCTTTTATACTTTCGGAAATTATGATTGCAAATAAGCTGAATGCTGTATACCATGGCAGTCGCACTGGTTTAATCCTTTATCCTTCAACTGTGCATCCCTCATTTCTCTGCTATTATTAATTAATATGTGGAAAAGAGTTGTACTCAGCTTTTTGCTGCTCCTTACTGGGAGAAGGTCGCCGAATGCTACTCGCTCGTAGGATGCAATTTAAAATAACCTTTATTAAATTTACAAAAGCGGAAAAGTGAAAAATATACTTCGAGTTATATTTTAATTCCAAGCATGACACCATTATTGTAGTACTGTGATAACTTTAAATAATTTACGGTACTACGGTAGGGGTCAGCCCCAAATTATTAAAAAAAATCCCTTTTTTTGCCCGAAACACTCCATGTCTACCACACCAAATATGTCGCCATCTTCGTGGCTTTAACAAATGCAATGGGCCTTGTGGACTCGCCAATGGACCAGAGCGAGAACCTGGAGCTTCTCGCTCGCATCGAGCGTCAACTGCGCGTGCGTCCTGTCTGCGACAACACCAGAGCCAAGGATGTTGATGTTTTTGTTGACGACTGGGCGCCACCGTCCGCTCAGACTTCGCGCGAGCTCTGGACTTTAGTATTGGAAGTGGTCTTCGCCCCATTATGGCTTCGTATTCGAGCAGCCGAGTTGCTGAACGTCTGCTGCGACATGGGCGAAGCAGACTCAGATGAAATCGTCAGAATTAATAGCCAGGAGACGCATAAGCTTCGCGCAATTGTGAGCTCTACGTGCCAGGCGCTGGAAGAGCTCGATGCCACGGACACCAAGCAGGCCGAGCAGCTCTTCACGTGGTTCGGGTTCCTCGAGAGAGTGCTGTTGGCTACACATAGCGACGTCTGCGTCCAGGTCTTCCAGAACAGCATGTACGCGGGCATGCTGACCAAGATGCTGCGACTATTGTCAGCCTGCTCCACAAAGGTCTTTGCAGCGGCGACGGTATGTCTGGGACTCTTCCACGACCACGAGAAGAAATGCAGACGCTCAGTGCTGGTCGGTGAGGTGCTGAGAGATATGAAGGACGGCAGGGAACATCTAAGCGGGGCACTGCTGCACGTCATCAATTCGTGCGGATGTCCGTGTCCAACGGAGAGGACTGTTCACTTGTGGAACGCACTGCAGGTATGGAAAGAGACACAAAGAGAGTTTTGGAGACTTTTGTATGGTCGCTGGCTCGGCTGAGTCTTGTACGTGCTCATTTCTGTACTTGTAGTTGTTTGGGGACATTCTGGCGGACGAGACGGCTTCAGCGTTGGTGTTCGTGAACGACTTTAAAGTGCTGATCGACCTCGTGATTAGAGAATGTACTGACCTTCCGCAGGAGCATGTTACTCGCCTGCATTGCATGCAGTTGCTGGAACGTGTTTTGGGCTCGCAGCTTTATCTTCAGACACAGATGTATCGCAAACGGGAACTGTGGGGACTGTTGGAGTCGCTGCTGGGAGCTGGAGCACGGGAGGATTCGGTTATGCCGAAGGACGTCATGGATAAAATTAAGCAGATTCTCGTGAACTACGTGGACTTGCTGGATTAAAGAGCTGAGTACCGGTAGTATCGATTTGTCTGGCGTTGGTGTACGTAATTTCTGCTTTGTTTAGTTAGGGATGTCATAGAACGAAAATACTGGATTAAAAAAGTACTGTAGTAGTCTTGTAGCAATAAAGATGAGTACATGTATTGTCAGGAATAATTCACTCAAGTTGACGTGGTAATTGCAAATCTGCATCCCCTTGAAACCCTTTTTTAGGATAGAAGCACTCTGCTGAGCATGTCAAGCTCAGGAGTTAAAGTAATAAAGAGCTGATTGATTTTTACTCAAAGGTTTGCTGTGCAGTACTTAAGTAAATGTGCCGGTAGGATGGCAATTGAGTTTCCTGGTGAAACCGACTCGCGCAAAATCTTTGCCTGGCGCGTTGAGATTATGCCGTTTTCAAACAAAGAAAGAAGTTTCCCCTTCGCTAGATCCGACCACGGAATGGTACGTGGACGTGGCTGGAGATGCAAAAGCGCTACTTCAGTTTGTTCCGCTTTCTCTCATGCGAACTTTCAATTTGCATCCACGTATGCGAGCCCTACAGGTCAAAACCGAAGCTTTCACCGCAGAAAATCAAGAGCCAGTGACACTCAACGACATTGCCACCATGGATCTCTTTCACATTCGACATTTCTCCCAAAGTGACGACACGTTCGAGAACTGGCAGCACTACGCAGAAGACGAGTGCAACATTGCCTTCGACTGGTACTCGCAGTTTCCATTTTTCCTCACAGTCTGGGTCAACGATTCGGCAGAGCAAGCGCGCCTAGTGCTTTTCTCGGATCACTACATGTCTGACGGGTATTCCGGAATGGTAGTTTTGAACTTCATTCTGGAGCGAGTCGCTTGTTTGGCAAAGGAAGAAAACGGCCGTGAACAAATGAAATGAGTTCAAGTCCAAGAGTTTCCCCTGCGGTCTTCGTTCAACGGTCAGGAATGTGGATGCTCAAACCAATCATGAAAGGGTTCCTTTTCGTGTTTGGTAAAGCGATTTACCGGGACAACTTCAAGCCTTTGCTGCCTGTTCGGAGCGGCCAGCACGATTTTGTGATTCCGCCCGTCGCAAACCCGACGTCGGCATGTTTTGCAGAGGGAGATCCGGGGTGTATGCGCAAGACTGTAGCCAAATGCAAAACCGAAGGTGTCACCTTTGCAGGAGCGTTAGTGAATGCTGTCGTCGTGGCATTCTACAAAGCTGCCAAGTCCCAACCTGACTTCGACCCCGAGCAACCGTTCAAGTTCATGGTAGATTTGGACTATAATATGCGTCGACGTGTACCTCACGTTGCTGAAGATGACCACGTCGGCGCTATCATAGCCTTCGCTGATCTGGAATGGCTGGTGGGTGAAGGTGTCAACATGAACACAACGTTGTTCTGGGACCTCGCTCGTCGCAGTAAGAAAGAGATCGACGAGAATCTTCAACACAAGAAGATGGTGGCAACTGTGACGGTATCAGTTGACCAGCTCATCAACGCGAAAATGGAACTTTCGTTTGCAGAGGATGTCCAAATGCCAAGCTCGCTAAATTCCGACGCAAACATTTCCGATGTTGGGAAATATCCGTACGCACGAGGATTCTCTTTGACATTTGAGATTGACAAGGACGAGAAGCGAGCGCTGATAGTCAAATGCCTGCACGTGTACGTACAATCCAGGCCTTCCGAATAATATATTGCAGTGAAAATAATTTGGCAATATTTGTATGGAATAATTTATTTTTCAGCTATGATGAAAACTTTCAGTTTGATATTTCCAGCAGTCACAAATTATTTGTAGTCCATGCTTCACAAAGCTACTTAAGCAAAACTGAGAATCAACCATGCTTAGTTGTTTGGCAAGTCCTTGGGAGTGCATCTAGCTCAGTCCTCCTCATTATCCAATTCATGCCTTTGACAATCCCTTCACCAACCAGCAATGTATCTTGGAAGTAGTGATGTGATATTGCTCTTATCAAAACAATAGCGTATTTGTCAATGTCAAATATCTCCCTGCAAGTACTGATTTTATGAAAAAGCAAGAATCGCATTGCAGTTGTATTATCGGAAGCCCTGGTACAATCTGATCCCTACTTTGGCCCCCTCGGCAACTTTCTACGTGTCGTCTGTGGAAGCATTCTGCTACGCTATGGGTCACAAGTGCGAGGAAGACATAGGTCAAGGTCTCTTTGCGGCATGGACTGCAGTTTGCGAGAACATGGTATTGGTTTGGCACTTGCTCGGCAGAAGGTAGAAGTGAAAGTGAGAAATATATTCAAAGGAGTTTTTAGTTGGATTCTACATGCACACTACACAATAACCAGAAAAGACACGCGCCTACACTCGATCTGATTGGTCCCAATAGTGAAACCAAGTCAAAATGTCGTACCTTCAACATTGTCGACTCGACACTTGCGTAAAGGTCCTTGGGGGTCTGGCTTCCGGTCGCCTGCCCGTTGGCTGGTTCTTACATCAATGTCCAGCACTCCTCCCCAGAGCCTCGGGGTTCCTGAATCACTCGATGTCGACGAGTCCGATCTTCTCCCGTAGCTCCTTCACCCGTGGCGCCGGTAGCGCTTTCGTCAGCAGGTCGGCGAGCATTTCCGCGCTAGTCACACACTCTGGCACCACGACGCCCTTCTTGGCGCAGTCTTGGATGAACTTGAGCTTGACGTCCACGTGCTTCGCCTTGGCCGAGCTTTTTTCGCTCTGCACTTGCACGATAGCCGCTTGGTTGTCCATCAGCATGGCCATAGGCAGCTTGGTGGCGATATCCAGCTCACCCAGTAGCTCCTTCAGCCCGAGTAGCTCCTGAGCACCCACTGTCGCAGCGACGTACTCCGCCTCGGTCGTCGATAGTGCCACAGAACTCTGCTTCTTGCACTGCCATGACACAGTCATTCCGTTTACTTGGATGATTGCCGCACTCACAGACTTGCGGTCGCTCTTGTCGGCTGCAAAGTCGGCGTCCGTATACGAGCGCAATTGTAGTGGTAGCCTTTTAGCATTGTCGTCGCCAAACATATCCATCTTGTGCGATCGGGTGCCACTCAGGTACCTGGCGATGCGCTTAGCCAGCTTCCAATCCGCCATCGTTGGTGCATGAGTCCGTCGCGTTGCACAGTGTACAGCGAACATAATGTCAGGACGTGTGCTTCTCGCAATCCACAGCAAACTCCCCACCAGTGACTGAAAATTTGTCACCGTCGGCCCTGCTGACACGGTCTCCTTTGCCGTGTGCGGAAGTTATTCTGCCAAATCTGACTCTACCGCGTCTTCTCCTCCGATCGGCGATCGCACCGAATTTGCTTTGTCCAATCCAAACTTGGTGAGCATCTCGACGATTGCAGCCTCTTGGTCAAACCTGTAACCACAGAGCTCGTCGTACTGCACGCGCATACCAAGAAAATTGCTGGCAACACCGAGATCCTTGAGCTCCAGGACGGACATGTCAGCGAAGAACTAAGAAACCCTGTTCTCGTCCGTGCCAGTAACCAGCAGGTCATCCACGTACGTTCCGACGACCGTCATTCCGCCGCTGTCAGCCTTGAAGTACAGGCACGCGTCCGTAATGCACTGGATGAACCCAAGCTTGCCCAGTTCGCGATGAAGGTGCTCATGCCAAAGGCGTCCTGCTTGTTTCAGACCGTAAAGGCTCTGACCAAGAAGTAGGCTAACTTCATCCACGCTCTCAGCTCCGAACGTCTTCAGCTCTTCCTCCGTGATAACGAGTCCGTCGGGGACGAACAGCAAAATCTCGATACCTCCTCCGTTTTTGCCTTTACATACGAGTTTGGAACGTCGCCGTGTCTGGCAGGCACATTCCATATGATCGCAATGACGAAGATGAACTTGACACCAGTCCTGGTAATCACAGCCGCAAACACGAGAAAGAAGTTAACGCCGAACTTTTGCTCGTTGCCACAGGCGACTAGTCGAGCCTTGTACCGCTCGATCAAACCCGTGCCTGCTCGTTTCTTCTTGTACACCCACTTAGTATGCAAGCGAATGCTACCAGGCTCGAACTTGACCAGCTTCCACGTGTTATTCGCCTGTAGAGCTTCAAGCTCTTCCTTTTCAGCTGCCTCCCAAAGCGCGCTCTCGGCGCACTTCCGCGCCTGCCTGTAGTTCTTCGGTTCCGGGTCATCAGCGTGGGCATTGGCGTCCTTAACTTCGGATACGGTCAAAACCACAGGCTCAGTGTTTAGCTTTGACTCGTCAACCTCCACGTCTCCATCAGCTTCAGCACGGCGGCGCGACTTGCGGTGTGAGCGACGAGATCTTCGTGGTGTGGAACGTGGTGCCGGTGGCGTCGTCGTCGTGGGAGCCTGAACAGTTGGTGTCTTCACATCGGATTTCTCCTCCAACGCGCGGATGTTCTGCACATGCCTCGTGACGATCACCTTGTTCTCCGAAGGCAGGTACACCTTGTACCCCTTGGTCGATTCGTCCTTGCCGACGACGACGCCCTCACACGCCCTCTTCTTCATGGCGCGCTTTCCGGGGTCACGAAACACGGAGTACTATGATCCAAACATGACAATGTCGCGAAGGTTTGGTGCTTCGCCAGTCAGCACTTCGAGCGGCGACTTCCGATCCTCGTTAGCGCGTGACGAGCTCCGGTTCAGCACGTACGTCGCGTACTCAGCCGCGTCACCCCAGAAGCTCAGCGGCAATCCTGCATCGAACACCATACACCGAGCCATGTTGAGAACCGTGCGATGCATTCGCTCCGCCTTGCCGTTTGCAGCTTGGTTGCCGACTTCTGACACCTGACGAGCCACTACGTTTTCTTTGCAGAAGAGATCCACGTTTCGGTACTCTCCTCCACCGTCCGTGCGGAGAACATGCACGCGAACGTCGAACCGTTTTTCGAGCTCGACAAGAAAATTCTCGAACTTCTTTGCAGCCAGGTTCTTCTTCTTTGCCATGAACACCTTGCAGTAGTTCGACTTGTGGTCCACGAAGTTAACCATGTAGCGGTTACCTTGGCGGTCAAGTGGCGTCATGGGACCCTTCAGGTCACTGCAGATGACTCCTCCGACTTTGTCGATCGGTGCGTGCTCCCCGGTGTCCTTAGTCGGTTGATTCGCTCGAGCCTGTTTACCCTCAGCACAAACCATGCAGGGCTTACGGTCACGATTAGATATCTTGATGCCGGATGCGGGGTCATTTGCCATACGCTCAATGGTGTCCAATGACAAGTGACCGAAACGTGCATGGAAGCCCATCAACGTGTCCGTGGCGACGACCGGCGAGGCTGTGTCCGTACTCGTGTCCACCACGTTCATGATCAGCTGCTCCATCTTCGCATTGCTCGTAGCTACCGATTCAAGTCTAGCCACAAGCACGTTGTGCTTTACGTCGACATAGAATACCACTTCGTTGCTTTTCATCAACGCCAACTTTCCGTTGCGCTTGGTGAGAAAGCACCGCTTCGCTATCAGCCGTCCGTATGAGATCAGATTCCGCGCGAGTTTCGGTGCGTAGTCGACCTCACTGAGCTCCACCTCAGCCGCGACTCCGTCGACAATAGCTCTCAAAACCACCGATCTTTTCTTGGCTACGTCCATCGTTCGCCCATCCGATAACATGCAGGTGTCCTCACCAGAGCACTGCACTACGTTAGCCAGTAGCGCAGGATCATTGACAAGATGTCGGCTGGCACCGCTGTCCAGAATCCAGCTCGTAGCGTCCACGGACTTGAAGTCGTTACCGGCGGCAAGTGCGAACTTTACTGGCTGGTCATTGTTGCTTCTAGCGGAACGATCTGGGCAGTTCTTCTCCAGGTGTCCAACCTTCTTGCACTTGTGGCATCGCCGCGTTTCCTCTTGGGACTCAGCCACTGCGTTCACGACCTCCTTACCAAGATGCTTTGGCGCTCGATCTTCATCGGTCATCATCTGCGCCCAAACGAACAGTTCGTTCGCTTGTTGGAGAGGATCCGGCCGCGTGATGTCACACTTGGCCATCAAGGCGTGTCTCAAGTCCGGATCCGCGTACTTGACGATGTTCTCCAGCACTAGCGTTGGTGACGCATTCGTTGCCATCATGAGAGCATTCAAGTACAAGAAGTGCTCATTCCACGATCGCGACGGGTCCTTCTTCGCGCCAAAGAGCTTCATTCCTTGTTGCGTCGAGAGCGCCCGCTTGAACGACAAGTGCATCTGATCCATCACAAACCAGAGCGTCGGCTGCGTGACCCATCAGCGCATGATGTGCTGCTGGAAGAAGAGCTCAGCTTTACCACGTAGATGCTGGCCGAACTTGTTCACCTTGTAGCGCTCAGGGTAGGCGTAGCCACACGCCTGCTCCGCCATCTCGATCTGCTCAATGAATAGCAGCGCCCACTGCTCGAAGCCGCTCCCAAGTCCCTTGTAGACCTCGCTGCCGTCGAAGTTTCGCATGAAAAGCTTCGCATCCTTGGCAGGCGGCACTCTCTCGTTGAGATTCAGCGGCGAAGGTCGATGTGCTTGGTACTGCGCAGCTGGTTGTTGCTGCGGTGGTGCCTGTTGAGCTGCTTATTGGGCCTGGAACGGTGAGCCTCCTGCTTGTTGCGCAGGACCAAGACCACCATACACCCCTGGTGTCTGCGCACCCATGCCAAAGTTCGACGCGCCGAGCTCATGCAGCTGCATGCGCTGCATGCCCAAGCTGCCTCCGTGCTCAGTGCCTGACGGTACACGCTCTGGCCCAGCCCAGCCCCCGCACCGGGTGGCGTGACGGCCGCATGCTGCTGGTGCGTCTCCAGCGACCGCTCTAAGCTGTCCACTTTGGCCGTGAGCTTAGTTATGAGAGCCGCGAGCGCTCCAGCGTTCGGCGTGACCTTCTCTTCGTGATGCTCTTCGCCCCTTTCGTGGGTAGGGGGGGAGGCGGGGACTGCCTCCGTAGCAGCGTCTGCGTCTGAGTTGTTGACCATTGGGCTCAAAACCTATTGGTTTGGCACTTGCTCGGCAGAAGGTAGAAGTGAAAGTGAGAAATATATTCAAAGGAGTTTTTAGTTGGATTCTACATGCACACTACACAATAACCAGAAAAGACACGCGCCTACACTCGATCTGATTGGTTCCAATAGTGAAACCAAGTC